TGTGTGCGTAATTGCTTTGAGTGAAGGCAGTTTGAGTGTTAAGATGCACTAGTCTTTCTATAGCACAGGAAGTGAGAAAGGTCTATTAAAGACACACTACAAGAGAAGACACACAGCTATAACCACTTCAACACAACCTTTTTTTAATTAAGTATCAGAAAGAACAGTATCTGAATTGTTCACTGTGTTTGAATGAACAATTAGTGTTTGTTACAGAAAATTCACAATGCGGTACTGTAAAATCCAGAGAGACAAGATTACACACCAGTTGCTACATAGATTTTTATTAACACAAACATGGAAATGCTCCCTATCACCTTTCTATGACCATCTATAAAACAAAGGCCTACTTTATCAAACAAAAGGAGACAGCTGAAAACCCAGGCCTGATCTCTCCCATTCACCCTCTTCTAAAAACATGGAGCCCCAATGACTCAGTAAAGAAGCACTGAGATCGGGACACCATTAGCATCTTGTTTTCAGTTTTCTCATCTGCACCAAAAGCAGAAGCGACTCGAGCAGCTGCATCCCAGTTCAGTCCTTGTGTTCTTTCAGGAAGATTCATCAGAGGATCTGTTTAGAGACATATTTCTATTGCAAAGTAGCAAAGAAAAATTGGAAGTAGTTGCAAAAGAAACATTCTGAAGTGGACAAAGGAAAACCTCAAGCTCCTACAGGGCCCAGACAAGTGCAACACTAACCTGTCATGGAACCACCTCACTGACAACAAACTTGTGCTCTAGACATCAGCTTACCTCCACTCAGCTCAGCACACTCCAACCAACGCAACCAGTCAATGAGCACTCACAGAGGGCCAGAAGGCTGGCAGACGTGAGCTCTGTTATATTACAGAACTGGCATCTGTTCATGTTAACTTTTTAATTCAGATGAGAATTACAGTATATGCAGAGGAACACCTTTCCCCCTTCAGCCTCTGCCTGTTTCCTACAATCACGTGGTGCTGCAGAGCAGTAGAAGCTTTAACAGCCAGGTATGTCACCAAAGGCTACCTCACACAAAAGGAATGCACATGTCCACTTCTCTCTTCTTTGGTTCATGCCAGTGATCAGAGGGTATTCTGGTGTTGATTTGATAGAACATCTCAAAGATGAAGTTCACAAACATAAAAATTAACTAATTTATCTTAATTGCTCTTAAAACCACTGCCCTTGCTAAAAACCCACAACTAAACAAAAAAAAACCCAAACCCACAAAAACACCGACAAAACAAAGAAACCCAAAATCACTGCTTCGAGGACTACAGATGAATTGTACTCCAAAGATACTTCAGAAACATCAGCAATTTATAAGCTATCCAACTACCCCACCTGAAGAGCAAATCTGAAATATATGTAGGTTAATTACAGATATAAGCATCATTTCTTCTAATTCTGTCACAAGATAAATTTATAATTTTTCCATCCAGTCACAGGCCGTAAAGCAAGCTTACAGAAAAGATTGGTATTACTCTTAAAACATCCTGAGCAGCCAAAAAATTGAGCAAGACTCACTTTGAAAGCCCATAACAAAGTGACTTAAAATAATTTTCAGGAAGAATAAGCAGGTTGCCAGAGAAAGGATAATGTTCTCAAAACTGGGTGCTCAGTTATGATCCTAAATTTAGTATTAGGAGGCTTATGTCAAAGTGGCTTATTAAATACCAACATGAACATGATTTTGCTGGCAGTGGACATGTGTTAGGTCATTTCTAGCATGTGTAGATATCAGAATGGTAACAGAGCACTGCAGCCAGATGAGCTAAAAATAGATCTTTTCAGTATCTACTCTGTGGATACAGAAACTTAGTCTGATACAGAATATTCCAGAACAGATATAATGTTTTTATCCTGAACATTCACAGCTTGTCTCATTTCTAATCCACAATAGGTAATTGAAGTATTATATGCCTCTTCATATGTTGTTTTCTTTTCTCTGTACCCAAGTCTGATTTGCTTTTACTTCTATCTGCAGTGCTAGGACATGTAGTTCCCAGTCAGTTCCAGAACAACCCCACAGTCAAGAAGGTACCTGATAGGACTTACATCTGTGCTGATGCATGAGTGGCCAGTGTACCTACATTATCACTTCTGAAAAGAGACAAACTAATTGCATAATGGGAGTGATACCACTGAATCTGCTGGAAAACATCTACATACCTAGACAGTTGCTTCCTGAGGAGCAGAGTGCTGGGGAGCCACCATCAGTTCCCACCCTTAAGCTCTACCCTGAGCTCTTGACGTGCATGTTCCATGTACTATTGCTCCCTACTAAATGGCAATGCTTCTCAGCAGAGAATGAAGAAACTGCCAAACAAAGTTGCCACTGAACCTATTCTGGACAAACACAAATAAAAGCAAGCATCATGATCATTATCACAAGTTGAAATACATGTGCCAGCAAAGCCTCAATTCCTTAGTTGCTCTATTGTAGATTAGTGTTAGGTTGGGTTGTGTTGGGGTTTTTTTGATTGCTCCATAATGGCTTGCATTAGCAATACTGTTGCTGAAGCAGCTGCCATTTTTAAGTATTTAACTTCAACGGAGCAACAGCCTTATTACAGTTTCAAGACTTGAATTAAATTGTATTTAGCACTTTATAAGCTAAATAAATACTTGTGTTTTTAGAACTTCAAACTCTTCAGTTGAAATATTGAGTTATGATTTTGTGTTCAAGACAGACATGATCAAACATATGCACTTCAAATACATACATATTTTTTAGAAGTGCAATTCTCAGATATCAAATTATTAGCAAAATAGAAACCCATCTATCAATTTAACCACTGTCCTTTAAGTAGACAAGGAAGGAAAAGGAGAAACTCTTATTTGAAGAATTAAGCCTGATTACCAGAAGTATACCGGAAAGTTACTATGACGCTATGTTGTTTTCCTTGCCATACAGAAAGTCTGCAAAATGCTTAAGTGAAACTAGGTCTCAGCAGAGCTTTGCCAGCATATTGCTAACTATATTAGAAAGGAACTGAACTCACTAAACATGTTTCCTAGTATGTTTGCTACGACAAGGCAAGAGTCGGTTTGTTTAGGAGGGAGAAGACCATGTATTTTGATATGCTAAAGGGACTCATTTACACGATGAGCGCATTGGGGAATGATTTATGAAAAAACATTACTTTTGGCACACCAAAAACATAGAATGATTTGAGCCAATCATTCTTTTGGCAATGCTGTCAGTGGGGCAGAAAGAGCTATAGCACAGTGACTTTCCTAAGACGCAACTTGGACACTTTTACATCACATTGGAAACTTAACACCCATTTCACAGATCAGGAAATATATGTTAGAGTAAACTAATTTGAGTTTAATGAGAGGCAGAAGCTCTCCAGTTGAACAATTTCTCATTTCCCACACAGCTCATCAAAACACGTACCCAAATGCCCTTGATGCCCTGGTACTTGTATTGCATGCATTAGCACTCCCACATACACAAGATTTCCACCATAAACTAAGCCACTGAAATCACTGAAATGATCATGAAACATAAAGGAACTTTCTGAAGGTGCCAAAAACGAGGTAATATCTAAACCACATCTTCAATACCACCTTACCCTGCCTCTTTTCCAATCAGCACACAGACAATTAATCTACCGTCTCCTGAGCACTATTCACCTGCTAAGCATTATAATGCCTCTGCATAACTTACTTATATACCCAGTTGTTAATTTGTCAGTCTTCAGCAACGAGCACATGTGAAGTACACAGCAATGCAGCAAAGAGATCAGTGACTAAGAGCAAATTGGGATGATTTAAGAGAAGCATCACCAGAGGAAAATTCCACTGCTTTGCAAGCAATCACATAGCCCTCAAGAGCAGCAGTACTCATCGGGGAGGAAACACTTCACTTTCCTTATCCCCTCGAGTGCCGAATTTCTCATTTGTGGTTACCATCAATATGCTCATCCCAACCAACATGAGCCAGGTGTTTCACACGGTTCAGCAGGAACCGATTCCGCTCACGAAGGAGAAGAAGTGCCCCCGGCGCTTATGGCAGTAGCCAATCACGAGCAGACAAATCATTTTTTAAATGGATGGCTGCTCCTCATCGCGACCGATTATACTCTGCGTAGCAAACTGCGCACCAAATACAACCGTTCGAGTTCCCGGTGGAGCGAGAGCTCCACGTCTCCGGTGCAGGCTCACCTGCCGCCCTCTGCGCCAGCAATTCACAGCACCAGAGAGACCAGATCAGCACCGTGAACATTAACCAGCCGAGCCCGGATCCTCCGGACCATCAGCCTCACAAACGCAGGGAGGAAACACAGCTTCTGCTAAGGAGTTTACTTTCCCTTTGCTCACATCCATCAAGAAAAGGGGGCTGGAGAGGGCAAACAACTCAGCACAGCTCTCCTTCAACCAGGAGGGCTCGGGATGAGCCGCGGGCGCTGTCAGGGTGCGTGGTGTCACTGCGGTCAGTCGGTGTCCGCAAACGCGGGCCACCGGTGAGAGCAGCGCGCCAACAGCCAGGGAGCAAATCCCGGACCCTAAACACGCTCCTTTCCTCGTGTTGCGGCCACAGCACGGCGAGGGCATTGGGATGGCGATTTCCAAAGTCATCCCCGCAATGACCTGCACGTCCCGGTTCTCCACATTGCTGAAAGTACGGCCGGCGAGCTGCCTGTTTGCGGCGGGAAGGGTCACTGGAACGCTGTCCCCGCCAGCACGGCCACGGCGGTGGGACGCACCTTCCCGCAGGACACCGCTCCGCTGCCGTACGGGAGGCAGTCTCCTTCTGTCCCAGGAAAGGCGGGGGCGAGGGGAGGGGACCCAGGAGCAGCGGCGGGGGCGGTCGGGCTCTGCGGCAGCGGGGCTGCCCCTGCCCGGGGCTCGGCCTACCCGTGTGCTGCCGCCCGCCCGCCCGCCGCGGGCTCGGCGCTCCTCCGGCGGGGCACAGCGGCCCGCCGCCACCCCCGCCCCTCCCGGCACCTGCCGCGGGTGACTCCGGGGGCTGAGGCGCAGGTGGTGCCGGGGCCCCGCGGGACTCACCGTAGATCATGGCCAGGCCGGTCTCGTGGAGGAAGCGGACGCGGCGGTGCTTGAAGAGCCAGATGGTGAGGATGGTGAGGGTGAGCAGCAGAATGAAGGTGAGCAAGCTCACGCTGTCCTGCCGGTGGCTCTCCTCCGCCTCCTTCTCGGTGGCGAGCTCCTCCATGGCGCTGCTGCTGCGGCCGCTCCGCTCCGCCGCCCGCAGCCCGCCGGCCGCCAGCAGGAGCAACGGGAGCAGTGGCAGCCGGCGGCGCAGGGGCACAGCCATGGCTGCGGGAGGGAGGGATGCCGCGGCTCTCCGCTCCGCTCCCGCGGCGGTGGCCCGCGGGCACTGCCCACTGCCCGCCTCGCGGGGGAGGGAAAGGACGGCGGGAGGGAGCGGCCCCGGCGCGCAGAAACCCGCCCGCCACCGCCTCCCCCGGCCCCTTAAAGGCGCAGCCCCGCCGGTGCTCGCCTCGGCCGGGCAGCGAAGGCTCGTCTCCCGTGAGGGCGCAGTGTCTTCCTTTCCTCCTTCCACCGTGTCCGGCCCGGCTGCCCCCGCCCGGGAGAGGTGCAGGGATGGGTGAGGACCGGCCCGCGCCGCCGCGGGGCTGGTTCTGCTTCGCGAGTCCCACGTGCCGCCTCGGTGTCGCGGGCAGCGCGGCAGTCCCGATCCCGGTGCCGGTGCCGCTCTCCCTGCGGCGCAGAGCGAGCTGGTGGTCAGCTGTTACAGCGGTGCGGTGTTGGAAATCATCACCCCAGAACCCGCCCTGTCCCCATTTGGGCCCGGGCTGGGCCAGGGGCTGATGGTCTCCGTGAGACCTGGAGAGGAAAAGGCACCGTCGTTTCTTTTTTTTTTTTCTTTCTTTCTCTTCTCTCTCTTTCTCCCCTCTTTCACCTCTTTCCCTCTCTCTTTTTTTTTTTTTTGTTTTCTTTTCTTTCTAATAAGACACAGGAAAACTTAGTAAAAACAAATCGTTAACTTGGAGGTTTCCATCCAAATACATCCTACTGGAGATTTGCTTCTAGGAAGTAAGACAATTGTAGGAAATGAATAGACAGCTAGTCAGTACTTTTAATTTGACATTTTTTTGCTGAAAAGTAAAAGAGTATATCCTTACTGCTTTAAACTCGAGTTAGGGGAAGGAAAGAAAAGCTGCTTTTTGCAAGCAAGCCAAAATCAGCACCTTCTTTAGCTTTTTTTCTTAAATGAATCACAACCCCTTTAAAAGATGGAATTCTGAGTGATGAAAATGTTTACCTTTAAAGAAATACAAAACGCTGTAGAGCTCGGGTTTGTGTTCTCTTTCTGAGCTTTTTGGTTTTTTTGGTTTGGGGTTTTGTTTGTTTGTTTGTTTTAATCAGCTTCAGGAGGAGGGTGCTTTCCCTTTGGCTGCCAGGGGAATTCCCTCGCAGCTTCCAGTGGTGGTGTAAGCAGTGCTGACATTTCTGCTCGTGTGACATTTCTTCCAGAGCTATTTTCAATCATAACTTCTAACATGTATTTTAACCATTGTTTTGCATAAGAAGAAAGCACAATACCTTAGGCCACATCTTTAATTAGTTACATGCCAGGTCTTATCTCCTTTAGGGATGTGCTCTTTCTTAATATTGTTGCCATGTTTCTGCAGTTATTTGTCGGGGTGCTCTAGAGTCTTTTCTCCTGCTAGTGGATCTGGAATTGTCTTGTGATATATATTATTCTTTGGGAGGCTCCATTTTACGAATATTTCAAGATTACAGCTATGTAAATCCACATTTCTATTTATATGTAGTTCTTTTAAATATGGTATTTATGCAAACTCTCCTCAACAACCATGGAAATCTATTGTAATCATGTGCAATTATCTTTAAATATTTGATTGTGCAGGGCTGAAAGTTTACATTGACAGTGCTGTCATTTGTAAACCTCTTAGAGATGAAAAGCAGTAATTTGCCCTGAAGACCTAGCTCCTAAACCTATGTAAACTATTAAAAATTTCTGCCTCAAGACTGCCTTATGTTAAATCTCACATTAAAAATTAACATTTCTGGTGTAATAAATTAACATTTGTGGTGTAATGAGAGCATTATACAGCTAAATCTTTACTGTGTGTCTTTAGGATATACAACCTACATACAATATAATGTATATCTTTAGGATATAACCACCTACAGGCTTCATAGCAGACTACAGGTATGCGATACCATGCCAATAAGGTTGTAAAATAAAAAGCTAAATGACAATAACAGGCTCTCTTCTGTGGATCTGCTTTGGTTTTTTTATGTGCTGCATAGTGCCAGGCAAAGTCTGTCACTAAGTGGTAGCTGTTTTCAAGAAGACAATTTCCATGTATATTGTAATTTCATCCACCTCTCAGCTGAGCTGCAGTCAGGGTCTTAAGTTACTTTCTGCAAAGTCTTCCACCAGTCACCTGTGTTTTATTCCTCAACATTCACATAGTTGGCTAAATACTATGCCTCTTGCTCTCCAGGCAACAGTGAGAAATGTTCAGGCAATTCTTTTAATACTTGAGTATAATATTCCAGTTTGGGGGTTTTTTTGGGTGGTTTTTTTTTCAGCTGAGCTGTGCTGTTTGTGGAGAAAACCATTCATCCATAGTTTGGTATGTCAGCTCAAGCTTTGAACTTCCACCTTCACATTTACCAGGTGTTTTCACTACTGCCTTGTCCCTGTAGCCTTTGCACAGCTATCACCTTGTCCTAGGAATCTGTCTCCAAATACCTTTACCAAATTAAAAAAGTAGTGTTCACCACTGTTGTGTTCAAAATCAAATGCAACTTATCCTTTCTCTGGACTGTGTGGATGTAACTAAATCCCATATGGAAAATGGTGATGGGAGCATGATTGTTTCTGTCTGTGTAGAGCATCAAAGTTTAATAGTTATGTAATTGAGTTCTCCTCAACTGAGTGTGTTCTGTCTAACATGTTGTTACCAGGGAACTTGATATGCACATACCAAAGTTTGCTGTCTCTTTACACTTATGGATTGGTATCATGATGCATGAATACTTTAACTGATATACTTAAACGGAATCATCCAGAGTGTATGCTATCAAATAAGAAAAAAAAAGTCTTGAGTCCCTCTGTCTCTGAAAACCAGATTGCATTGTTGTTAGAGAGCTGTGTTTACACAGCTCAGTTCCTTGCAGTGGTGTAGATAGCAGGTCACTGTGGTGTTTTCACTTCATTAGGAATATCAATAATTTCACCTCAAGGGGTAGCTCTGTCATTGTAATAACCCTGAGGTTACAGTTTGTGCTACAGGCTTTTTCTGGCAGGCCTCCACTTGTCTTCCCAAGCTATTCTTCATGGTCTCTATAGGTAGGATCGCTGCCTGTCAGCCACCACGTATATTGCATAAGTCAGCCTGCCTGCTTAGCAAAACTCATTTTGTTCTATTCCTCCTTTCTTCCCATTTGTTATTTTTGATCTGGTGCCAGGCAGAGGTCTTTGATCTGATTGCTGTTTGAGAGGCCACGCTTGAGGTAGAAACAATGAGGTGTGCTTTGGAAGATGGAAGGCCAAGTGGGATAATAACAGAGGTATCAAAAGCTTCAAACTGAAGTTAAGAGATTGCACTGAAATAGATCAAAGGACAAAATCTAGCCCTTCAACAAAGTTCAGCCATGCCTGGAGGGATGTAGGAGTATTTTGGTATTAAATGCTAATAAATATGTACATTTGCACATAGTTGATGATTGACTTGCAGGATTGAGTCATATGACTGACCAAAACACCACAAAGATAGATATAGATTGATCTACCTTTTGTTTATCTGTCTTCATTTATTAAAAAGTTCATTCTCCTAGAAGCACCACCAAATACTACCTTCTGCATTTTTATAACTTTGTTTGTTAAGAAAGTCTTTCTTACCACATGAATGGATATACACTTCAGATTTGTTCTTATTCCCAGAGTTAAATGATGCCATGTGAAGCAAATACGAGGTCCTATTTTAAAGCTCTGTTCTCTCTCCGAGCTGTTGGCAGTAACACTGTCCACTCGTGTCAGTCATACTGGAGAGCTCGCGCTCTATCGAGACCTTTTCAGTATTACACAAGTCTGTTGAGGCTGGCCCCTTCTGCTGATGAAAGCAGCAATTTTGAGACTTTCATTGACCTAACATGCCATTGTAGTACTGGTTCTGATACAGAAAGGCCTCACAGTCGCTTGGGCTTACAATAAACCGGAAAATCAAACAAATCCTTATCTTAATACGTGACGTGTTTATGCAGCTGCCTTTGCACACTCACATTTTCTAGCACATTAATCCAGAATGCAGTAACAGGTTGATTAGTAGGCAGGTCAGCCTTGCAGAGCAGCTAGCATGTCAGCCACGCTCCTTTCTTTGCCTTCTTTCTCCTTTCTTCCCTTTTAAGCCAAACTCTCCTGTCACTGTGATTTAAATGGCAACCAATTTTGAACCTATAGCCAGCTTCTGGCAATAGTGGGAACATCTTGTGGGCTACTCTTATGTGTCTGCATAAGATATCTACATGCCCCAGGATCCCATAAAACATGCTCCATTGAAATATGAGTTTAAAGACAACTAAGTGTTCTGCAATTAAATTGTGAAGAACATGTCATATTTTTACTGAAAAACAAATTTGTTTGAATCTCCAGTTTTTTGGAAGTGTTAACAATTGTGACACATTTCTCTGCTAGTACCAGTCCCTCAGAGGTGTCAGATAGCTGAGAAAATGTCAGAACTGCCGTTTTCCATCAGTGCAAGTGCAGAAATCATAATTAGCCTTTCCAGTACAGAAAAGTCTAGCTGGATTAAGAGCTGTTCTGTGCTAGGTGCAGGAGTGTGGCACTGTGCAGCCACATCTCACAGCTTTTATGCTGTGGTAAGCTTTCAAAGTGTTTGAGAGGGATATGACTAGAAGTTTTATCTGCAGAAAGGTGCTCTGCGATTTTCCTTATACCCAAACAGATTTGTTTCCCCTTCTAGCTGTATATGATCTCAGGAAGTGTCATTCCGCTAGGGACAAAGCAGGTTGTCTCTTGTTCCTCAGAAGAAGGCAGCTCATTACCCTCTGCAGGTGCAAATGACAGTTATGACTTTCAATGTTGCAGTTGCTCAAAGAAGCATACAAGCAATCACTCTTCTCATCACTCATCACTTCCCACCATATTCCCCATAAATATTAAAAGAAGTGAATATCCTAGTGCCACAGCTCAGCTTGCGCC